GGAGACAAGGCTGGGAGGCAACAGCGGAAGCAGGACATTCATGAGGATGGAGCCTCTCCAGCTACACCGTTCATAAGGCAGCAACAACAAAACAGGTTGAGCTCCTACAACTTGAATTACTTCTTAATTGCTTCTTGTTTGATGCTAAGTACATGAACTATATGACAACAAAACAGGTTGAGCTCCTACAACTTGAATTACTTAATTGCTTCTTGCTTGATGCTAAGCACATGAACTGACGTGTTAAGAAAATGGAAGCTGCTTAACTGCAAATATGGCATATAGTTATATTTGAACATTTACATGCTTGTAGATGCATAAACATCTGTAAGGGAACACACTCTTATCAGTCAAATGTTCCTGGGTGTAAGCAACGGAACGGCCTCTAATATTAGCAGAAAGGCATTTACTAGAGGGATGTAAGGGGTCTCACAGAATTGAAGGGAAGGTGAGAGAGTCAGGAAGACTGTAGGGACTTCACGAAGAACCCACTTAAGTTGCCCTGGAATGGAAACAGTAAACACTTGTTTCCTCTGGTTGCTCTGATTAATATGCAACAGTCCAGGAGCAAGTCCAGAGTCCAGTTGATTTGGCTTTGTTCATGTGCCCAGCTCTCGGTTGAAAGGAGAATACTTATTTTACAGTTCCCCAGACTGTACCCACCAGGGGAAAGAATTCCCAAAAAGGAAATGCTACACTCCAAAGTAGGTGGTGAGCAGCTGGGCAGCTGGAGAACCATAAACCTCCACCGCACACACATTAATTCTGGTCCTTTCTGGGGAGGAGGAACCTATATCGTCCTCTGGGATGGTGGAGATTTTTAACACTGTGTGATGATTTGGTGAGTTTATGCTAAAAACGACAAATTGTGGCTCCAAACACACAGGAAAAATGGGCAGAGTACAAAAAGTGAAAACTATATATAGATATAGATTATAAATAAACCTCCTTGAACCAGAAATCAAAGTGATGCCATCTAGGGACTCTGGAGTGGTGTGCAATGTCCCTAGTGTCCTTATGGGCATTAATTACCAGGTATGATCATAATACTTGGATTTAGATTGGGGTCTTGAAGCTCCCTCCTAAGGGAAGCAAACACAAAGCCATCAGAGAGGGTGGAAGAGGGAAGGAAAAAAACAAAACATGATCGTGCATACCAAAACTCCAATACATGAAGAAACTCAATGCTAAGAAAGATAGCCAATAAAATCAACAAAATCAGAACAGGAATTCATTCCAGAACAGCCTGAAAAGGACAAAATAAAATAGGTTGAGACTGTTTAAAGAGATCAACGAAAGTTCCACTTCTGTTAAAAAACAAAACAAAACTGTACACATTACCTAATGAAAATGAAAAGGATTGAAATAAAATCAATTAATTAGAAATCTTGGAAATAAAAAATATAGTTTAATATTTAAAATGCAATAAACAGTAAGGTGGATATAGTGAAAGAATAAGTGAATTGGAAGAGAATACTGAGGAAACCATCCAAAATGCAACACACCCACCTCCACTTACGTGTCTAACACGCATTTCAAATATTTTTAGCCAAAGAACTCCATCTTTAAATCATATCTGTACTACAAGGAGGAATGAAACAGGTCAAAGCATTTCGGTTGAAGTGGAGGTGATAGGACTGATCTGCATTATTAAATGAGCATTAGGGTATAAGCTCGGTGACTTTCTTCTTACGCGTTTTTTAAAACATATGTTACCTCAATTAAATAATGAGCATGTTGAAGATAGAAGCTACTTTATTCTCCTACCCAAGCCCTCAACAAATATTTGATTTTGGTTATGCTTTAATAAATTACAATGTAAGGAAATTCAGTTCAATCAGAAAATAAGATTTACATTTTATATAGTGCATAGTTCTATTATTATAGAAACATCAGCACTAAGGAGTAGATTTTTGTTTTGTTTTCTTCTAAAGTTTTTTTTTTCCATTCCATTGAAACAATATTTCTGAGGTGAACTCTATTATTTCATTGTAATAGAATCAGAACAGTTTTTAACGAGGTAGAATCAACTCAAGCAAGAAAGGGCACAAAAGAATCCAAATTAGGTAGAATTTTAAAAAATAAATTTAAGAGCAGTAATTAATGAAATAGTAAAAATATTGCTCAATATTATTAGAACCTAGTTTTTTAAAAAAGATATAGATCTTTGGCAATCTACTCAAGAATGCTGCCTCTCGTTCAAAGAAAATATTAATGATAAAAAAAATTACCTAGAGAAGATTTTATTTGCATTCTCTCTCTCTCCCTCTTTCTCTCAATAGAACACATATGCAATTTTTTTTTTAAATCTGGAAAACTGGATGATTTTCCCATGGAAATATAAATTTCGTAAAAATATAGATAACATAACAAACTATAAATAAGAACTGTAAGGGGAGTAAAAAATACTTGAAAATACGCACATAGTTTTATAGGAGAGTTTATCAAATCTTCAATGAGCAAATAATTCTCACATTAAACTGTACCACTAAATAAACTAGAAATACCATGGTCAATTTCACTTGAGTAGATAACAAATCCTAAACAAATTAGCAAATCAGTGTTAAAAAATTCATAAATAGGTTTTATACCAGTTATTGAAGGATAATTCAACTTTAGAAAATATATTCACCTCATTCATCCCATTAAAATAAAGAAATATTATTTTCTAAATCTTCAAAAACTCATCAGATAAATTCAAAATCACCATGGTCAATTTCACTTGAGTAGATAACAAATCCTAAACAAATTAGCAAATCAGTGTTAAAAAATTCATAAATAGGTTTTATACCAGTTATTGAAGGATAATTCAACTTTAGAAAATATATTCACCTCATTCATCCCATTAAAATAAAGAAATATTATTTTCTAAATCTTCAAAAACTCATCAGATAAATTCAAAATCTATTTATTGGGGGGGTGGGGAGAAAGTGGCAGGGTGGGTGGGGAGAAACAGATCCTTTAGCAAACTAAGAAAAAATTTTAATTTAATAAAGGTTATCTATTAGAAACTTCAGCAGCCATGATACTTATCTCCCATTACACTCAGGAAAAAAACAAGGATGCTTACAATTGTTATCAACTAAAGAAATAAGATAAAGATCTGTTATTAAAAATTTTTTAAATGCTTTTGCAGATAAAATGATCAACTATCTAAAATTCCAGACTCAAATAACAAATTATCCTGACTGAATTCAGCAAAGCCACTAGAGAGAAAACAAAAATTAATTGCACATTATTGGTGAAGGAAATGTAATAGGAATTTTAAAAAATCGATTCATAAGTTTTTAAAAAAATATGGGCATAAACTATAAAAAGTACACAATATTTAAATAAAATACTCAGTTTACTGGAATATGTAAAAATTTTGAATGGAGGGAGACATACTGTGTTCTGGAAAGACTTCATATTTTTAAAATATTAATAATTCCCACACGTTAATCTAGAAAATCAATCCAACACTGATCAAACCCCCAAGGGAACTTTTCTGGCACTTGGTCTAAGGCTATAAACAAAAAAATACATGGAAGGTTTTTTTTAAATCGAAAAAGAACAGGCAATTGACTTACCACATATAATAATATGAAGTTACACTAATCACAAGACTCCTAGGTACCACTTACTGAGACGGAGAACACTGGAGGTGGGATGGGAGCTGGTTTGGTGGGTGGAAGAAGTGCTTAGTTGAAGTACATTAAATGTGAGATGCCCATTAGACCTCAAAGTGGAGGCAGACAGGCAGCTGGATGTGTGGACCTGGAACTGAGAGGGGTCTGGGTTGCAGAAAGATACATTTGAAACTATGGGATGCCACAGAACTTTACTAGGCTTTTAGTTTTCTTCTTGTGAAATTATATAGTTTGCTTTTGCAAGTAAGTTCCAGAAGTTCACTCATTCCATCCACATTTCTGTTTTCTAAGGAAACAGGTAGAGGTAGAGGTATGTTCAGATCAATTCCGTGGAGGATTAGATAACAACCTCTGTACTTATTATTCTTGTACTAATACTACTTTCTTCATTATTTTAAAATGCATTTTCATTTTAATGTCATTTCCATTTAAAACCATTAATAAACTTTTATATCCTATAAAGATGCAAAGCCCCACCATTCACATATCCTCTCCATTGTCGGGATGGCTTGCTTCTTCATTCTGTCTGACCACATCGTGAATGACTACCTTGGCCTGAGTTTACAAAGGCTATGCCCAAACTGGCTGCACACCAACTCTGACATCCGTCTCCTTCTGTAAGAGCTTGAGAGCTTCATGAAGTCTTTGTTCCAACCCAGGATCTCTCCTTTTTACCTATAATACATACTCATATGGTCTTAATCACAGGCTCTTTTGCATTTAAACATTTCAAGTCTATTTCTCAAACTATATAAACCCACTAAGAGCTATTTGAATTTCTATTCATGAATACCAAAATAATGCAATATTTCTAATATACTTTGCTTTCTACCCAAAAAGTACATGACCCAAACCTAAAATGCAGATCAGCTGTATCCAAATCTAAATTCACAGGACTCTACTGTCAACCTAGAGTACCAACCTAGAGTGACAAAAGGAAGTAGTCAAGCTGTGAAGAGAAAGTGCCAAGGCACAAAGGGCAATGATGGTCCGTCAGGCCTAACGAGACAGCTACCCCACAGATCACACAAGTCCTATCCAAGGCAGCACATTTGCCACCAGCTGTGAGATTTGGGTGCACTGCCCCAGGAAGGAGCAACCAGGCCTGAGGGGAAAAACCACATCTTATCCCTATAATTGTCCCCACTTATTCCCACACTTGCCCTCATTCGGCATGAAAAAAATTGGTTTATAGGAACCCATCAGGTATGTGACCCCAACGAACCAAGGCGCAGTGAGAACTCCATGTGTAAACATGCAACACATATGAACACACATGCACGTGAGCACACACATTCCAGACAATGTGGCCAAGCATGCCATACAAAATTGTATGTACACTGTGAAACAATCTGAATTAGGAAACTAGGATCATTGCCACCGCCATTTATTTATCTAGTTCATAACTAAGTATAGAACACTACAGTTGTGCTGGAAATGCACAGAAGTCCCTGCCCTTAAGGGGCTTACAATCTTATTAACAGGCACATAAAAAGTTGGACTATAAGAAAGCACATGCTAACAAATGCCACAAGAATTCAGAAGGCAGCATAGTTTAAGAACACAGCATGGTCACGAAACCCAGTTCTAGTCCCAACATGTCAGTCAGTTAACTTCTCTGGGTTTATTGCCTCAGCTGCAAAGTAAAGCAGTGAGATTTAGAGTGTCTGCATTCATTTGCATCATGATTCTAAGCAAAAGGTGAGGAAAGTTTTATGGAGTAGGTGGCACCTGAGCTGGACACCGAAAGGAGACAGAGAAAGCATTTCAGACAAGGAAAGCGGGACTGAGGTAGGCCTAAGCATGGGGTTTGGAGGGGAGAAGACGAGCATCATAAAGAACAATGGGAGTGAGGTAAAGGGGTGGCCGTGGTAACCCCCAGGCACTACTGACACAGCAATGAGCTGCATTCTTTGCACTTATATCCAGTCAACAGTACATAATTCCAGAGTGTAGAAAACACCATAGAAGAATGGCGGTATTTTATCAAGCATTTCACTCTGTTTCCAGAAGATACAAAATAATTTAACATTATACCTCTATGACATCGATACACTATTCCAATGGTCAAAATGCAAACCACTTCAAAGTTTACATTCTTAGTAAACATGAACTAAATCATTTAATCCAAAAGGACATTTTGATATAAATTATATTAGCTCAATAATTCTAACATTTATTTTCTACTGTTCTATTTACTGTGGAAATAAAAAAGAGTAAGACACTAAGTCCCTGCCCTTGAAGGGTTCTCATCCTCGTAGGTGAGATGAACATCAACTATGCCTACCTAGAATGTACTATGATGCATGGTATGACCAAGGTATAACTATGTGGCCATGGAGTACAAAAGATGGATTCATCCCTTCCGAAGAAGTTTTGGCAAAGGCTCAGGGGAGAGAGGTCAACGGCTTGAAAATAAATGAGATGGGTGTAAGGAGGAAGTGTCTCCGGGGAGGAGAGGGCTTCTACACGGAGGGCACCTGGTGACAGAGAGGGAGTAGTGTAGAGTATGGCATGGCCAGGGCCTAGCACAAATACAGCGTGGCCGGAGCAGAGTATGCAGGGCAACAACTAGTGATAACGGACGCCAGAACTCAGTCCTATAAAAATGGGGAGCCACTGCTCGCTATGCTTTAATCATCTACTAACTCTGGTTTATAAGGTCAGGAAGAGACAGAAAAATAAAGTGAGGAGTGAGGTTCTGGCAACAGTCATATAAGAAGCTCCTCTTAGCAAATCGCACTGTTCAGAAAACCCACCTCCACCTCTCTTCTTTCCCTTTATGATCGGAAGTTTTCAAAATGGAGCTAAAACCTGAAAGGCATAGGGGTGGAGCAAATGAACAGACTATAAATGCACACATTTGGCTAATCAAGTTACCGTAAGATAATGGTAACTGCATTGTATAAGGTCTGCAAATGAAGAAAACTAATTATTTTTCAGTTTTCTTAAAGTACCTAATTCACACCAAAGTGTTAGAGAATCTCATTCAACATGGAAAAAATATACAGAACCCTTGCAGAAGACTCCATTTCAGAAACTATTTTCTATTAAATATCTGTGTTATAAACACAATACCACAGGATTTCAAAGGTGATCCTCACACCATTAAGATCTGACCAAAATTGCACTGCTTGGCTTAAAAAATAAAAAAGCTACAAAGTATAATTCCAAGTCTTAGGTTCTCAGCTACTACCCAAATAGGTCAATACATGAATAATCTATCTAATGAAGAACATGCAGTAAAAGGTAGATGAAAATAAGCCATCCCTTTAAGTTTGACCTTAAATTCCAATTTCTCATATTACAGAACCCATTCTAGAAAAGTAACACTTTCTTGAAATTTCATTTTATAATGAAGAAAATAAATGTGTATTTTATTTAACATTCATTCTTAAATTAGTTATGCCAAAATAATTTGCTTCTCATGAAAGAAACAGCATAACTCTAAAAAACGTGCATATACATTTAGTAGGATCGTCTACATTTCTAAATAAATTACATGCATGATATACATTAACCAATAAAGAATACCAATATGAGAATTCAGGACATTTATTTTTCTGCATGGAGGTTTAACTACTGTACAACACACACAAAACAAACCTCTAAAGCAACGGTGTGTAATAGGTAGTGAGAGATACTTAAAATAAGCGTATTTAAAATGCCTACAAACAGGCTTTTTTTAGGCAACAAAATATTTTCAGTCCTTGACACCTTCTCACACTCACCTAGCACCACAGATGCAAGGACTTACAGTAAACGTGTACAATCTCATGCTTAAAACCTAAAGCATGCATTGAATAGAATTTATATATAATAATCTACTCTACTAAGTATGAAATACATACGTCTAATGTTTTATACATTAAATTACCCTGCAGCATTTTGAAATTTTAACATTTATGCAAAACAACTTTTGAAAGACTCATGAAACAAGTTTTCAAAGATCACCTCCAGGCTGTTTACACAGGCACTGGTTTGGTTAAGTGGGGAAATGGCAGCAGCCTCAAGGTTCATACTGAATGAGAATAGTAACGTGCATGTCGATCCATGTAAAAATACATATATACACAGATGGCACAAAGACCTGTGCAGTTGGAATCACCAGTGCAAATGCATGCATTTGAGGTACTTATTTTTTCCATGGTCAGGTATAATTATGCATAGTCATGTTCCTCAAGTGCTAAATATCAGACCTGATTGAATGAAAAGATGTAAGAAGTGTAAGTGTGAGATATTAATACAGTTAATTTCAAGGTGCTATACTTTCAATAAACATTTGTTTAACATTATATGTTTAACATATTAGTTTAAAATATTTACCAACCAATACATTTTCTCATTGTAATGACTGGTAATTATACCTGGCCAAGTGATTTAAATAGCATACTTGAAATTTTAGCAAGAACTGTAGTGAACAGTTAAATACTTCATTATTGCTTCATTGGACTGAGAAACCTAAAAGGCATAGACAGACAATGCTCAGTGATGAAAAGTGAATACCCAGAAGAGTGGTGCACGCCTCCAAAGTGGCCTCTGCCCAATAAAAACTAAGCACTCTCCATGTTATCGATGCCATTGGCATCCACGTGGATATCAGGCTCCCCACACAAAGCTGAGGGAACAAAGCGGCTAACAGTGGGACACAAACAGCTCTTAAGCTCTGGCAATTCTTGCTTCAGGCGTTCCAACTGCTCCACTTGGAATATATTTGGCTGTTCAGGCATCCAATCATAAATCCTACAATGAAACAAACAGAAAACATTTAAATAGGGTAACTTTATAATTTACTTAAGACCTGTCTGACTTAGCCTTTTTAGAAAAATTTGTTTACAGAATCCCATATTACAAGAGTCTTTTCTAAAGATGTAAGCGTCAGTCCTATAAAAATATTTCTCTTCTCCCCAGTCTTTCCAATAATCCAGATTAACAGCATTTCCTTTTGTACCTCTGATGCAAAAGAGGTGATCAGAAAGCAATTGAATCAGAAAATGAAATCTGCAGTATACTAGTGATTCTTCATGTTTCTTTTTTCCAAGTCAATTAACCGATGTCTTATTTTACAGATAGGAAGCTATTTAGAGCAGACCTGGAATTCATATCCAGTTCTGACTTCAAAGCACAAAAGGTCAAGATGAGAAGAACCTCTCACCCGTGTGAAAATTATCCGAAAGCTGTGTAGTATTGGAAGATGAACCCAGAGTCAAAAGCACAGAAAAAGTCCCATGTGACAATGGCAGCACTGGCACTGCAAATCTTAGCAAGGGAAGGATGACATTTCATGCCTAAATGTGGAAGTCGGGCAATTTATATAAGGCACTACATGAAAATCTTTATGGCATCACAGTAGGGAAGAATTTCTTAAACAAGATAAAAACATGTATTGATTCTATTAAATATGTGACTATACTAAAACAAAGGCTTTCTGTTATGAAAAGTGATCTCTGGCCAAGGTATCAGACTGAACAGAAGCATCTAACTTCACTCTCCCCATATATCTCGTTAAAAATAAAGAGACGAGATTTTTAAAAATCCACGAGTATGGGAAAAATCAGAGACACGGCAACAAAGTTTTGGAAGCTAGAAAGTAGATGGATAAGTAGTAATGAAGTGTTTCAGTTAACAGAATAGAAAAGGCCAAACCACAAGCCAATAATAGAAAAGATGAAAAGGCAGAGTTAAAAGTAGCACCAAATTCCTCTAGAAATGGGAGTGAAAGGGAGAGAGGCTAAATCAGGGAGGGTAGGGTGAAGGCTTTGAGCAACTCTTCCTCCTAATTCCTTAATTTGGAGGCTGCCCTTCCCCACCCTGCCTGAGATTATTTTGAGAATTAAACAGGAAATCTCTTGGAATGTTGGACAAGACCAGGTGCCGGTCTGGGCATTAATGCAAAAGCACCACCAGCACCAGAGGAATTAGAGACTGTACATATATAACCAATGCTACATAGAGACGTGCCCTCCCTTCTCCAGCTCTCTTCCCTTACTTGATTCCAAGAACCCCGGCAGCCAGACCTGGATCCTCTACGTAGTTTATACAGATTCTTCTGAGCAATCTGAGCAGCCAAAAACTGAAGTTCTAAATTTACTGACATCAGAGGTATGACCAAACAGGCCACCCAAATTATCCCATAGTGAAATTCAAGTTAACACTCAGAGCTTCCAACAAGCTTTTTAGATTCCAATTTCTTATCATGAGAAGCAGCTAAGGATTTCCAAACATCTGAGGAAAGCTTCTAATATGTAAGAGAGTGAACAAAAGAGAAAAAAATTCCAAAATAATAAAAAGTCATAAAGCCCTCAGAGAAACAGTACTTTCATTGAACAAAAACAGGATATTACATATACAGAAAAAAAGAGCACTAAGAGAGAAAAAAAGACAGTTCCTGGAAATTAAAAACACAATAGCAGATGTGAAAACCTCAATAGAATGGATGAAAAATAAAGTTGAGGAAATTTTTTGAAGTGGAGCAAAAAGACAAAGATAGAGAATAGGAGAAAAGATAAGAATGAGAAGTCTGGTCCAAGAGTGTACAATATGCAAAAAAAAAAAAAAAAAA